AGGAATTGGCAAACAAAAAAGAGATTAAGGGGCTGGGGAGATATCTCAGTAGAACAAGTGTTTGCCTGACAATCACAGGGTCCTGAGATCAATCCCCAGTACTGCACAAAAAAACAAAAAAAAAAAAAAAAAGATTAAGGAAGCTAGTAACCAAGAGAAGGCCACCAGGCTTGGGAAAGGGTTTTGGCGTTCTTTGCAAGGCACTTTCTGTAGGAAGTGATACAAGTGGAAACCACTTTCTAAAGTTAAAAGACATAAGGGCAGGCCAGATAGCTCAGTGGATTAAAGCGCCTGCTAAGGCAGACAAAGGGACTGGGGTTTGATCCCTGGTGTGTCCTGCCGTGCTGGTCCTGCCCCCGAGGTGCAATTGAGACTGGGCATGGTAGCACATGCCTATAATCCCTGGGCTTGGGAGGCTGAAAACAGGAGGATCACTACGGGTCCTACCTGTGTAGTGAGATCCTGTAGACCCTGTACTAAAAATACATAAAATAAAAAATAAAGTTAAAAGACATACTTGTACTACACAGTGGGTGGAGGATATACAGATTATATTTTCTAAACTCTCACTCTCACATTTTTCTCTGTCTTCTACTTCATGCTCCTTTCTCTTTTTAAATGCTGGAAAAGTCCTCTCCTTGACAGAAGAATTACTGGAGAAAGAGATTAAATAAGTAAAGGAGGCAAATGACTATTCACAAAACAAGGCCAAAGAGAAGCAGGATTTATTCTGGGCAGAGTGGAGAGGGATCATTTATTGAGAGCTATATTCAAAAAGGAAGACAATGACATGTATACTGGCACACACCTGTAATCCCAGCACTTGGGAGGCTGAGGCAGGGGAATCACATGAGTTCAGGGCTAGCCTAAACTATACAGCAGGACCTAGTACCTAAATAAGTAAGTAAGTAGACAAACAGATAAAGGGGTGAAAGGTGATTTTTGAGTTACAAATTAGAGGAATGATATTTACAGTGGATAGCACTTGTCTTCTAAAGATAGTGGTAAACTTGCAGGCTGCAAGTAAAATGCTGTAACTGAGTGCTGACTTACCATCTGAATAGTATAAAGGGAATGATAATATGCACAAGAGTCAGGAGACAAAACTAGGTTCTTTTTGCATTAGTGGTCTATAATCTGACACTGTTGATCTTTTGAGAAATTAAAGTAAAGAAGTCTTAAGCTTTATAGCTGCATAGTGTTTTACATCCATCTTTCTATTTGACTTTTCACCATAATATTTGAAAGAAGCAAGGCATGTGTTAGCATTTTAATTTTATAGATGAGGAAACTGAAACATAAAGGTATTATCTCCCAACAAGTAGTACTCTATATTTATCTCATAGGGCCCCATAAAAATAAACTGTTTTGAAAGTCACATACATTCTGACACTGCCAGTCAAGCAGAAGACCCAATACTATTACGGACTACTGGACTCTTTTAGAATATTTTGCTGAGTTTACACACCTATAATATTCAAATAACGGAACTTAACAAAAAAAGGGGATACAGATGAATGTCCATTTTGTATCTGTGTATTCAAAGTGGTTAGGATAGATATATAGTTACAGTCTCTTAATGAATAGAGGGATTTGTTCTAATGGTGTTTGTAAATACGATCTCAAGTCTGCATCTTGTACAGCAATTAACCACTAAGAAGAATGTATGCAGTGTGTTAGTTATTGAAACTGTCCTGGTGATTTGATTTGAAACTGTCTCATTGCTATTTATCAATAAAATTGTGAAAAAAAAGAAAGGTGAAAGGAAGTTTTCTAAGTGAAGAAAAAATACGTTAACCTGATTTAAGCATAACATAGTACATACATATTTCAAACATTATGTGATACCCTGTAAGTATTTACAATATTTTCACTTTTATATCAGTTAAATAAGTTTGTAAAATGTTGGCTAAAATAATAAGACCTTTTAATATATGTAAAAAAACAAAACAAAACAAAACAAAAAAAAGTCACATACAGTATTCAAGGTACCTCCAAAGTCTTATAGTTGTGCTCAATGACCCCCCAAACACATTGTCCAGATAAAAGAAAAAGAGAAAAAGCATAGATTTAGTTAGACCACAGATCTAAGGTATACAAATTCTAACACTCACTCACTGTCATGCCAAATTAAGGTAAAGCACCCACCATCTGCCTTCATTACTCATAATTTAGAAAAGAAACCAAAACACTTGGTGTAAGAAGGACTTTTCCACAATTACAGAACTGTTTATTAATAGAAAATTGGTACACTTATAATTACATGGTATATTCTACACCATTCAGAAAGAAACAGAAGGATGTGACTATGGTAGTTTTGAGGTTGACAATATTTCAATTGCTAAATTAAAGCAAACGCACACACACACACACCAGATCAGATTATCACAGAAAGAAAAATAAGCCACCTGAGGAAAATATATAGATATGAAAATATGAACAATGAGAATTAAGCCTAACTTCTCACACTAGTCTTGGCTCACGGAAATACTTCGATTTTTTTTATACTGATGTTCTACAGCAAACTATTATCAACTATCAAGTGATTCAATCTGATCATTGAAATTTTGACAAAGAAAAAACAAATTAAATCATGAGGGTGCGCTAAAATAGGTTTTTAAAGCTCTGCTTTTAATACCATACAGACAGGTAGGTCACAATTTTTTAACTTCTACCAAACATTGTAAGAATGAGTTAACTTTAATTCCACTCCTTGTCATTTGCTGAGGTCTTGCTCTGTCATTGTGAAAACCACTGACTTATTATTTGGGGTTGTAGTTACGTTGATACATACAGCCTTCTACTTTAAATAATATCTTAAGCTGTTTTTGTAATTCAGTATCGAAAATGATAATATACTAAACTCACTGCATGAGATTTTATATAAGGCTACCTTAACAAATGATAAATATTTTTAAAAGGTTTGTAAGAATTGTAAAAACAGAACTATTAGGTTATGCCATATGTAGACACAAGATTTAAATATAAAACTTTACAATAAATTTTACTAGACACAAAAACATCTTGAATAAGGCAAGACAAAATTTAGTCAATACATTAAATATGTTTAATCTTAAATCTCTGGAGGAGACAGCTCAGAGGCATAAGAGCCTGCCTGTCAAGAGCAAGGTCCTGAGTTTGATCCCCGGTACTGCAAAAACAACCAACACCAAAAAATGGCTTGGGAGATAACTTGGTGGTCTAAGCGCCTGCCTGGCAAGCTCAAGAACCGGGTTTGATTCCCGGTACCTCATGCCGTGCAACCAGGCATGGTGGCACACACCTGTAATCCCAGGGCTGGGAAAGCTGAGACAGGAGGATCACTATGAGTCCAAACTGCATAGCAAAACTCTGTACCAAATAAATAAATACATTTAATAAATCTCTGACTGGGAGAAAGCACTTGTCCACTACTGTAAATTTCTCTCACAGTTGAATACTCAGTACATACTGAAGACATTCAAACTTACAGAAGTAAAGAATGAATGGAAAAAAAAAATACTGGGTTAGGAATAAATGAAAGGCAGAGACCATATTTTCAACATGTGGAATAATATGGCTGATAAAAAATAAATGCACTTGAGGTGCAACATCAATGTGATCTGGGGTGTTCATAGTATATGAAGGGTCTCACAGATTAGAATGATTATTACATATGAATTTTGTATTAGTAACTACATTTTTGTGATTTATGCTTTTATTCTTTGCTACAAAGAAGACAAAAAGTTCAGTTTTCAAAGTGTTGTAAAAAAAATCAAAAAACATTTTAGTTGTACTATACTATGTAAATGGCTCTTACATTTGTTGCAAAATACATTTTCTTCACTAGTTAAATAACATACACCTTCTAATTAAAGCCTTAAAAACATTTTATTATGGAGTAACAATTGTTATTAAATACCTAACAGTATTTATTTATGTAAAGAGTAAGAGAATTTATTGGGAAAAAGGAGTGGGGAATGGAAGTAAAGAATAGGAATAGCTCCTGAGAGACAGGAGGGGTTCTGCATAACACTTTTTAAAAAATACATTAGCCTCAATGTTTCATGACCTATGGATATTTACAACACACTTTTGCTCAGCAGTATTTCTAAGGCTTCCTTTTACTTCTTTTTAAATACAAAATCACTGTTGAAACTGTACTTCCGATTTGATTTGAAACTGTCTCATTGCTATCTGTTTATCAATAAAACTTTGAAAAAAAAATAAATAAATCAAAAATCACCAAGCTGATGGAGGAAACCACTGGCAAGATAAGGGCAGTCAGATTAACCCACATTTGGTTTTTGGTACCCAGTTGAAGTGAAGATTGATACAGAAATTAATGTAAGTCTTGAAACATGGGAAAAATTCTTTCAAATGGTTTTGAATGTTTGGGTTGATAGTCTTATTCACTTCAGTATGTTTTAAATTCTGCGAAACCTGAAGACCAAGGAAAAATGCTTGGAAGATAACAGCAAATGCTTGCAATAATTTCTAGGAGCTAGGACTTTGACTACTTTTTCTTCCTTATTTCTTTCACTGTTTTCTTAATCATCTACAATCAACATGTAATCACTTTTACTATAAAAGTTATTTTAACAGTTTTTAAATGCTCAACGATATAAATATTCTATTATGAAAAAAAGTAAAAAATCAGGAATTTCAGGGGCAAAGAATGATTTCAGAAATAGTCCCAACTTTTATGCATAATTAGAATATATAGGAAAGGATTGTTTAATAAAAATAAAATTGCAGGTGTGAATGTACAAGTGCTGTTTATTTTAGTTGTAGTTAGGTTAAGCATTTTTGTTTTGACTTTCAACAAAACATTAATTCTTACAAATATTTATTCTAACTTGGAAATGGCTGTCAGAATATCTCTCTTTGATACTACCCATTCTTTTTTTTTTTTTTTTTTTGATACTAGGGATCGAAGTCAGGACCCTGCACTTGCCAAGCAGGTGCTTATGCCACTGAGCTATCTCCCCAGCCCTTACCACCCATTCATAAGCTCTTACCTTAGTGACTTTTCTGGATTCAGACTCATTTTCAGATTCTGATTCGGACTCTGAAGAAGTTTCTTCTACTGAACTAGATTCAGCATCAGAAGAATCTGAAGTTTTAGATTTCTTACTTTTCTCCTTCCCATCTTCAGAATCACTACACATAACAATAAATTTTTATATATTAACTATAACTCCTTTAAATAAACTTTTTAGTTTATATAAAACATAATTAACATGGCTTTAAAATTTCAGAATATATTAAAGTATGAACAGTGGTAACTTCAAAGACTTTAAATTGCTATCTCAAAATCATGTTTGCTGATAAATACTTATACAGTACAATACTTTTGTCAGAATAGAGCTGGTACTATAGATTTTTCTCATCCAAGACAACTACTTATATGAATTCCAAAATATGACCTTAGTCACATAATGTTCTATGAGAATGCTAATGTACCAAGTCTTACTAAACATATAAATCATATCTAAACTTAAAAAATAATCAAACGATCAATCCTAAGTGCTCAACAACATTTACTTGTTTACTCATAATATTTACTGATTATTGACAGCATTTTGGCTGTCTGAGGTGCTAAGGGTAACAATGGTTACTAAGGTACAGATGAGCTCTGTGTGTCCACCTTTTACTGCCTGCAGCTCACAGAAGATACATGGAAATTTACAGATGCTTAATAAAACACAATGTGTCAGGAGAACATCTTAGGGACACCTACAATAATTTAACAAAGACTCAGATGAAAGACAGATTAAGAAACAAGATAAGTGGGCCGGGGAGATGGCTCAGTGGAATAAGCGCTTCCCTGGCAAATGCAAGGGTCTGAGTTCAATCCCAGGTTCCACCAAAAAAAAAAAAAAAAGAAAAAGAAACAAGATAAAGGCAGGTGGGCTTGGGAGAGAGACAGTTCTCCAAAAGACTAACATGTGAGCCAAACTCCTTATGATGAGAAATGCCTTAAGGTGTTATACAAATGTGACCCAAAACTGAAAGTTGGGGGCTCCCACCACTGTGTGTGTGTGCACATGTATATACATTGGCATTATTTTTAAAACTTGAAGTGTTAGGCATATGTTGTACCAATCAATCTGCTCATCAGATTTAGAGGCACTCTTGCTGAGTACATTATCAATGTAGTATTCAAGAAGGGTGAGTAACTTGCTCAGACACTCAGATGGGGCAGAAGTGGAATCAGAACTTTATCTTATTCTAAAGCCCACAATTTTCCACTGCATCACAGCACTTTCCAACACGTCAAATAACTTTAGACTGTAAAATTCAAGTTTAGTCACAAGGAGTTCCAATTACAAAAAGGTGTTTTCTGAAAATAAATGAAGCTTATGAAAAGCTTTAGAAATTACCATACTGGCAATTTTTAAAAACAATTCTGAGTCAAGTAAAAAGACACACAGGGAGAGAGAGTAGTGAAGCAAGAAAAGAATCAATATTTCTCAGAATCAATTTTTGTGGAGGAAGTATGATTGGTGTTTATTAAAAATGGGACTATGGCAACATCTCACTACACATGTAATTATATTTGAAAACTACAGTATGTGTGTTTTTTTCCTCTAGGAAAAAAAAGAATGGGAATTTATTATCCCCAATTCACTGGGCAAAGCATACTGAAAAACAAGGATTTACTCATTTGTGTTTTTCTTTGGTTAAAAAAAAATCCTTCAAATGCAAACATGAGTAAAAAAAAGTATTTTTGAAAAAATTATGAAACCAATATATGATTATAAATTTCTAGCACACTGTTATTAGTTATCTGAAAAGATAATTCATGCATCGATCAAAGCTTTCTTTTTCTATAAACATGATGCTATTAACATCATAGGTCTTCTGGTATTAAACTAGAAGTAGAGAATTTCTCTTTAAAAATAAGCATATTACAAACAAAGTATCTCCACTGCTATAACAAATCAATGATTCTGAAAGTATCTAACTTCTACTATATTTAAGAAAAAATTTTGAAGCTAAAAGTATTATTTTGGTATACATCATTCAATTTTGATGATAATTATCGTTTACCTTACTGCTTAGAGTTTCAGATGTTAACCTAATGAAAAGAATTTACTGGTAACTAGGTTTTTAACTTTGCAATGATGAAAAGCCTGTATTAATTTAACCTACAGATTTCATTTGTTCTGAACAGGAAAAACAATATAAATCACTTTTAAAATCATTAAATCCTGACTTAAATTAATAAAGTCATAATTAGGGCATTATGCTGTGTTTGTTATGGAAGTGGCAGGGCGAGCTGCTTTAATTACTGTCTGTAATAAAAGGAGCAGAGAGCGTACCGCGCCCCAATCAGTGCTGTCAGCCACGACGGAGCCGAGCTGCGAGCTCATCAGTGAGCGGGCACTGGGCTCCCGGGAAAGGGCCATCATGTGGCCAGAGGCCACTCACTGACAGCTGGGAAGAAAACACAGCCACACAATCCAAGGTATTAGCCCCAATTACTCAACATTTTAATGACACTTTAATACATGATAATATTGTTGATAATGGGAGATCTTAAAAACCAGTAACATTTAAATATCTTATGACCGTCTTCCTTCACAGCCTTTGACTCTAATATTTGGATCATAATCTTTTTAATATAACATTATTTAGAAAAATCAATTGTCTTAGTTACATAATGGCAAAGTATTCAAGGATTTAATTTTAGCCCTCAGCAAATTGCTACAAAAGGTAATTAAGTGTTTCATCCCTGTGGCTTGATCACTTAACTCAGCTACCCAAGGTTATACCAATTTTCAAACTGTAATGCAAAGATTTGCTCAAGTTCATAATGAAATCTAAGCAAGGAAGTAATAGAATAATCTGAACTACTAGCACCTTAAATTAATTTTAAGGTGTAATATCTACTTGGAAGAAAATAGGCCAAAATTATTTTCTCACTCTATGATTTAAAGGAAAATATTAGCTTGGGGCAAATACCACACAGTATTCTTTGAAGGAAATTCTGACCAAACAGTTTACCTTTTCCCTCTGGTCTTTGAGTTCTTCATAGTGGGTGCTTTGCCCTCTGCTTCTGCCACACTCCCATCTTCACTCTCCTGCTCACTGGATGAATCCTCGCTGTCCTCGCTGCTGTCCTCACTGCTGGCCCTGTCCTCCCCACTCTCACTTCCAGATTCACTCTCTGAAAAACAGAGCCAGATGCCGTGAGTAGGAGCCATTTTGTTACACATAAGCACACCTGTACCTGTCACTGTTCCTTGTGAAGGACACCAGACACTGAGTTTTAGGGAAGTAGCTCTGGCTCGCTGCAAACTATTTCTGCCCCCATTCATTCAGATCTGGGAGGCAAACCTGGAGGATGGATGGATGCACAAAAGACATTCCAACACCGGGCTGAGAAAAACAAGCCAAACTGAACTACGTAAACCAAATCGGAGGGAGTTGCAGTTTCTGTCAAATCCATAGGTATCCACTATTACACATAGTTTTTGAAAAATGACATACATGTGATATAAGGATGAAGAATACTGAAACTTTCTACTTGGAATAAGGAATTTTCTTCAGAGAAAAGAAGTCAACAGTTGAATAGCCTTAGGAATAAATTTTGAGGGGGAATGAGCCATTCAAATCATCTCCAAAAACCAAAGTCAAGAACAAGCAAAATAACTAATCAAAGATCTATTAGTTATAACTTATCACAGGCCACTAGGACATATAGGTCCAGTAAAAGATAAAAACTGAGGTGTTAAAGAGTAAATGTTTTATGTACAAATTATGCAATATTAGGATTCTTTTTGTATAAGTGATTCACAGAGTATCATGTCTTTTAAATGAAGTATAATTTTTTACTACTTAAAATTATAAAAATTTAAAAAATGATTACAGGCGTAGAGTTGTGCAATAAACAGATGAAAGGAAAACTGTTGTCCTTGCCTGATCTATGAAAGGAAGCATCCTTCACTACAAATGTATTTCTATGGCCAATTCAACATTATTTTAATAAATATGTGACATCATTCAAAAAGATCCATTCACACTGTCATGGTGAAAAGTTAGGCCTACTGTTAACAATATCTTACAGTAGAGAAAGACACAGGTTGGCAGTGGAAATCTCCAGGTTCAAATCGTGGATAGAAGAAGGTTCAAATCCAGATGTAAAAATGAAGAAGCTATGCAAGCTCTGGGTCCAACTATCCTTTTCCACAACTGGGAATAACACTACTTGCTGCTTAACAAAGATGCTATGAAAACTGGATGAACTGAAATGTGTGCAGTGAGAGTAATACTGGGGCCTGCACAGCAGCATCCACTTCAGCAGAGTGAAAATTACTTTAACCAAATGTTACTGATACAGATCCAATAAAGACATTCTGAATTTGTTGTGATAAAAGTTACACACACACACACACACACACACACACACACACACAGCCGCTTACTGCATTATATTGGAAAAGAAATCTCACAGCGTTATCGTCACCTCACTGCATGGGAGTTGAACTTGAATCTGGGTCCCACATGCTTCCCACAGCATTATTTAAATTCACAAATAACACCTTGCAATAATTTCTTTATTTTGAAAAAGACCAGCTCAATAAACAAAAATTTTGTACCTCATAAAAGAAAATTGTCATTATGTGGCCCCCACTCCCATGGCTGCAAGGAAACTCAATACTGTACCCATTTAGATAAAGTCATGAAAAGCCCTAACATTAATGGGATATTGTTGAAAAGAGTTAAGACTAACAACAGGTATGAGCTTATGACTAAAGGGATAGAGACAAAAATCTATACAGAATAAAAAAGCGTATGTTCAAATACACAAGTATTTTTCTTAATGATCTATATCTCTGACAATTTCATTATTTTTAACATGAAATTTTTATTTTTATTATAATTTTATTGACAAACAAATAGCAATAAGACAGTTTCAAAACAGGTTAGTAGGGCAGTTATGATAATTAATACATTGCATATCATTGTCTTTGTAGTAGTTATTTATAGTACAAGATGCAGACATGATATCCTGTCCAAACACTATCATTACAAATCTTTCTTCTCATTGAATTAAGAGAAGGTAGCTGTATATCTATTCTAACTATTTTGTATATACAGATATCTATATATATACAAAATGCACCTTCCTTTATATTCCCTTTTTGTTTACTTTTGTGAGAGATGGGTATTTCATTTCCATTTAAATATTGTAGATGTGTGAATTTAGCAAAATAATCCAATATAGTCCAGTAGTCCATAATAGTAGTGAGTTATCCATAGGACTGGCAATGCCAGAAGGTTTTTTTTTTTTTT